GGAGGTGGCTAACGGAGCCTCGCCTGACAAGTTCGACAAGTTGAACAAGCAGGGCATGGCTTTCCTGAAAGCTCTGTCGAGTGAAAGCCGACAGTTGCGCTGGTTAGCATGTTCCCAGATGCCAGCAGAATACACTCAACTACGACGTCACTCCAAGAATAACTGGCCGGAAGCTAGCATATTCGCGGCTTGGTGGACTCCGGCGGAAGATCATATTCTACAGGTCATGGTCGAAGAGGTCCAGAAACATGGCTTCGACGGTCACATGTCCTGTCATTTTGATGGTCTTCTGATTAGCACTTCCATGATGAAGTCAGTCGAGATGGCAGCAGGAAAGAGCATGATCACAGTCCTGCAGGAAGCAATAGGGCGAAAGACTCCTTTCGATGTGGTGATCAAGGACAAGACGCTGCCTTCCTTTGACATGTACCTGTCCAACAAGCTTAAAGAGAGTGAAGTTGGTGCAGGTTTGGGAGGTTACCATGAACTCTTGACTGCCGTGTCGAACTCCATTCCAGCTGCGATGACCTTCCTCGGGGCGGACATAAAGCAGGTCATCGTGCGTCTGCGAAAGGAATCACCGTCGAACGCAAAGGCCGACAGACATTGTGTCCGACAGTATTCGGACTGGCACGGCTGTGGGGATCTGTACCTACTCCCGCAACATGCAGGCATACTAGACGTGACCAAGGATTTCCTTTTACATCTCGAGCTGCCAGAGTCATCCTTTTGTATGGGGGTCAAGGTTGTCCCGAACAACAACATTCTCGCTATGCGCGCAGGCAAGGTCTATGAGGGCACTATGGCAGAGCTAGTGGATCTACTCGAGTCATACCACGGCACGAAACAGACATTCTGTTTTGCTATTGCTTCGGAAGATCCAGACCTCGACGACACAGAGGTCCGGTTTCTTGATCTTCTGGCTGGCTCCTCCTCTGCATCTTCAGTCAAAAAACGACCTGCCTCTATCCCACATCAACAGGATCCACAGAATGAAGGCGAGGTAGATGTCGGCATAGAGCTACGCAGGCTGCTCTGTGATGAAGTGAAGACTGCAATTCAGGCAGTACGGACACAAGCTGGAAAGTCGTTTCCGCCAACGGTCTGTCCGTGTTGCCCCTGGAGACGGTTCGAGCGGCGTCGATGCTTGGTGGAGCACCTACAAAACCAACATACAGAATCCAAGCGCTTCTGTCCGGCTGGGACCAAGATGTTGCGGGTCGTGGCGGCGCTCTATGATCATGACCGCCTTCATGATCGAGCACCGCAACCAACCTTTCTGGCTAGGGCCAGTGAGCTCCTCCGGAAGACCGTCAAAGGCAACATGCCGTCTACTCTCAGCTGCATCGATAAATTCCTTCGCTGTGTTTTTCACTCAGACGGGCCGGAGTTTGTCACTATTCGATCTGTAACAAAGGCCACAGGTTTGCGTAGAGTGGGTAACCTGTTCTACGATCACGACTTCGCTGATGCATTCCTCCAAGCAGCGGCCGCTCACAATGCCTCTCTACACAAGATACAGGCATATTTCCTGGAAAGATGCACGAGGAATGATGGAAAGCTGGCATCGGTTATTCCTCGCGGCAACAATGGCTTCTGGACGAATGTCCTTGAAGACCTCATGGGGTCGCCTCTGCTTGAAGCATATACGGCAAAGCTCATGGACCGATGTGCACAAGCTGAAGAATTTAAGTACATCAGCCTGGATGCGACATTTAAGATCAACTTGAAGATTATAGGACAGGCAAACTTCCACTCTTCTGCATCGACTCGTTCCCAGGCCATTATCCCAGAGGACGAGGCTGCGTACCGAACCATGACATGCCGTGGCCGCACCGGCGCAACGTTGGCGCTATGTGGGATCAGATCTGAGAAGTCAAGCATTTTGGCGGATGCTTTGAGAAGCAGTTTTACAAACACGCAACGTGCACAGGTGTTGCATGTTGCATCTGATGCTCCCTCTGCGGAAATGTTTCAGACTTTGAAAGAAGTTCTACCAAATCTGCAGAGTCTGTCGCTGGACGCCATGCATATTGTTATGGTCTACGATCAAAATATGAACAACCGCCGGACCGCGGGGAGCAGATGGCTTGCTGTCATCATGAACAAGTTTCGCAAGCGGCACTCTTCTCGCACGCAGGCATCTTGGGGTGAGTTCTACAGCGGAGGCACTCTCGGATCAGCGCCGCAGGATGTCAGATCCATGAGAGATTGTCTTTCAGAGCCGGATATGTCTGAAAATGCAGCGAGAGAGCTACTGGAGAGACTGGATCCTGACACTCCCTGGCTGACGGAAGTCGACTTCCTCCAAGCCTTGGTAGCACACTTTTCATTCTTTCGAGAAGAACTTCGTAAAGTCACCTTTACAGGGGTTTCGCTGCATCGGCTCATCGTGAACGTCGCCAGCCCTGCCAAATTCCAGTGGCTTCTCAACGACACCAGGTATCGCCATTCCATTAATCGACAAGAGCTGGTGCTCCTGCCAAGTGGTACAACGTCTAATGAAAGTCTGCACCACGAGGTGAATGTGTGGTTTCGGGAAACTGCGACTTGATTGCAGTAGGCTTGAGCATAGCAATCATGTCGATGCAACCCGCCCCTAAGCAACCCTTGCTGCAGGCCATGATACACAAGGCGACCTTCCTCTTGAAACTTCGCTTCTTTCATTTCTTGAAGTTGTTGCTGCACAACCAAGCCTTGTATAGACCTTTGCAAAGGCAAGTCGCCCAAGGTGAGCTTGTTCCCAGAGCCATTCACGGCAACATGCGAACCATTATTCCTTACAAGGAATGGACTAAATGGTGTAAGAGCCTCCGTGTCCGAGGGAAGACTCCACAGAAGGCGGGCTTAAGTGTCGTCAAGCAAGCCGCGTCAGTGCGATCTGCGAAGCAGTCGCAGAAGGCGGCTACTGCAGGCACCTCGGCTTCTAGTCGGAAACCTCCGAAGAAACGTATGCCGGTCTTGCCTAAGGCAAAGGCCGTGCGACGCACTCCGTTCCGGCTTCGGGTGATGAATCCCGTCATCCGTCCCGGACGGAGGTCGCAGAGTATTGGCTGATGTGGAAAGCGCATCTATCCTTATGCATGTGTCATGAACGACAAGTCGTTAGAATGCCGCTGTGACTTTCAGTTGTTCGTGAACTTGTATGTCTGCCATCTGTCGGTAAGTCAGCACTGCCACGTTCCATGATCTTATGCTGACGTTACACCGAATAAGAATGGTCTGCTGTGCAGCTGGCAGGCAATCCCCTGCGAGACTGCTCTCAAGGCCTGGTCAGCACTGTGAGGTCCGATTGTTGATGCCGCAGTGTTTCCGATTATGAGTACAAGACAGTTCCGATAGAGACCTAGAAGCTGAAACGAGTACAAGACAGATCCGATACACAGGGAGCTGAAACAAAGACTCCCAATTTGCATTGTAGGCGTTCGATGGACGTGGCGTACTGCTCATTACTGTGTTATTCGCGGGAATATCCTATTGAACAAATCCCCTAGTCTTATGTAAAGTGATTCACAGGTAGAATCAGGAAAGTCCAGACGACCGAACGACAGATTCCGAACCCACGTTTGAAAGAGTATGGATCTGTATCGAAGTCGATACTCGGAACCGGGTCTTATCTACATTTGACTTCTTCTTGCCTCATGTTGTGCGTGTAGCCATGACGCAACTATATTTATGTTTCTTGGTAGCTATGATTCCACCTCCGTGGTCTGAGCCGCTGATTTATGACAGGTCGAAGTCGATCGCATTGAAAGTTCAGGAAAGTCCAGTCAATGATGATATCACGAAGGAAGACGTTATACACTTGCCTTGAGTGTATACAGAACTATGTATGTTCGGTTCCTTGATGAATCGCGCTATGCGTGTAACCTTCACGCAACTACATTTCCGTTTCCTGGTAGTCAAGATGCGACCTTCGTGCTCCAGTCCGTCGGCTTTGCGACAAGTCGATCACATTGAAAGTTCAACACAGCCCCACCAATGTCGATGAGGCGAGACGAAAGATTCTATACTTGTATTGAGTACGTACAGAGATACGTCGGTCCAGTACAATAGTGATATACACGTCTCTAGTATGCAATGAAAAACCCACGGTTTCAGCTGGCGACTATATCCTGTTTAAGCCGGCCACCCCCCCCCCCCCCCCCCCTCCAAATCCTATTCCCCATATAAGGGCCCCTACGCTAAGGCCTTAACTCCCTGAAACTTCCGCCCTGGACCCCTGCAGCCTCCGAACTCTACATCCTGAGTCCAGCAAAAAACTGTACACTCCTTCTTAAAGGATCATGGGACTTAGTAACTAGGGCTTATAATTAGGGCAACTATGCTTATAACCCCAATTAGGGTACTTATAACCTTACTGACTAAGTCCCATGATCCTCCAAGTTGGGCTCATGACAAGAAGAGTTCAGCGGGCTCAGGGTTCCGGGTTTAGGGTTTGGGGGGGCCTTAAATCCTAAACGCTAACACCCTAAAACTCTAAACCCCAAACTCCTACAGTAGAAGCCAGAAAGTTGGAACATCATTATCCCCATGCCCTTAAGGTAAGGTATAAGGGATCCTGGCACTAATCCTCCTAAAGCCATGTTCCAACTTTCTGGCTTCTACTATAAACCCCTAAACTTTGAACGATCTGGGCTCAAGGCATCGTTTAGAGTAAGCCCTCGCAGTCATGGCTTGGCCTCCAATGCTAAAGCCCACTTGGAGGGTCTTGAGGGGACTTAGTAAGTAGGTAGTAAGTAGACTTATAAGTACCCTAAACGGGACCCTAATTAGGGTTATGGTAGTTATAAGTCCCTAAAATAACCAGTTACTAAGTCCCCCGACCCTCCTGACTCCAAGCAGACCCTGCCCTAAACCACCAAAGCCTTCATAAACATCTACAAAACAATAGGGTTTTGAAATTGGGGGGCCCGATATATTATAATTATATTAAGGAGCCCACCGAAATAGTCTAGGTAACTATGAAGGCCCCATAGTACCGCTCAAAGACGAGATGCTCTCCCGACGAGTCAAAGGAAGGACGAAATGCTGGCAGATGTGATACCTTGGAGTTTAAGGTCGAGGGCTTCGGGTTTAGCAGATGCCTGGGTTTAGGGCTGGGCTGTTTTTTGAGAAGTGGGTTCAAGGCCTTAGGGTTGAGGATTTATGCAATGCCTAACTTACGGCCCCCGTTTTGCGTCTGCGACAGAGTTGGGAGTTTCCGAATATTAGTGGCACCTTATTTGGGGTTCCTGAGAATATGGATCCTACTATTTCGGGAACTATATTAGGGTCCCCTATTTTCGGAAGCTCCCAGTGGTCTCTCAGGGGCAGTTCCATCTGACCCCTGCGAAGCAAACGCACCAAAGCTCCACGGAGTATACGGTCTGGAGGGACTCCTAATGGGGACCCCTACCCTATACTGGGCTATATAATGGGCTATATAAAAGATATCTTAAGGGTATATACCTAGGGGTCCTTATTAAGGGTCCCTCTCTTTGCCCTGGGATGTTAGTATTGCGACTAAACCCTCAACATCCTCAAGCCGAGCCATCCTAAACCCGAACCATCGTAAACCCTGAAACCTGAACCCTAACCGCCCCCGTAGTTGCTGAGTTCATAAGCCCCAAAACGTCAAAAAGTATAAACTTTCAGTTTTATAGTGGGGAATCTTATCCCAAAAAGTGTAAAGTGTATCCACTCAGCTACCAAGCCCCCTCACCGCGCCAAAGATACATGTTCACATCCAGCCAGCGAAGGGGGGAGCCAGGGTTGGCCGCAAAGTGGCCAGAGTCCAGGATCTCCTCTCTTCGCACATAAAGGGAACTCCAGAAAGTTGGAATATGGTTTCATGGTAGGATACCCTATAATTTACCGTAAAGGGTTTAGGATGATCATATTCCAACTTTCTGGCTTTTGCCTTAATGAGAGTAGAATTTCTTGAAAGGCTTTGTAGGGATGTATACAAGGGCGCTTACAGGGATTATCCTGTTTTTGCACATGATTTTAATAGAGTTCTAGGTTCCTTATCAGGGCTTTACATCGTTTCATGGGTCTTCAGAGGGTTCTTTGAGGGCTTTGTAGGGTTGTGCACAAGGGCTGTTATATGGATCTTCTCTCTTGCCTCATAATTGGAGGAGGGGATTCGAAGGCTTTCGAACTTTTTTCCGAATCTCGTCTGTTCGCACACGATTAGAGTAGAGTCCTGCAGATTTCTGATGGCACTTTTGATGGGTTGACTCGGATATTGGCACGGATCTACAACCCCAAGACATTCGGTCGCATGGTTTTGCCAGATTTCCAGGCAAGCAGCGTGAAGGTTTACACGTGCTTGAGACCCAAAGCTCTAAACCTAAATCTGAACTCCAACACTAAACGCAACACTAAACTATCCTCCAACAAACCCTAACCTTAGTGGTTAGGATGCTTCGGGTTGGGGATTCAGGGTTCGAGCATCTTTGAAAGATCCTTGCTGTCGATTCGGGTCCAGGGTTCACTGGCTCGAAAAGCCCCGGAGTTCCTCCTTCTCCAAGACCTGCTTCACCACGTCTCCCAACTTCAGGAACTGTGACGCCCTTGGAGGGTCTTTAGGGGACTTAGCAAGTCGATAATGAGTAGACTTATAAGTACCCGAAAAGGGATCCTAAATGGGGTTATGGTACTTATAAGTATCGAAAATATCTAATTACTAAGTCCCCCGACCCTCCAAGTAGGATGCTGCCAAAGGCAAAGAGAGGATGGGGAGTCGAAAGAAGAATCGACCAAGTAACTTCCGTCGGAAAGCACTAGTCAGCCTTCAAATCTAAGAATTCATCCTTCAGCCACCGTTGTAAAGCGTCACAGCCATGCCTTATCATGAGGCCTCTGTCAGAGATATCTGGAAAGTCCCACCTAGAGCAATCAAGCAGAGGATATGATCCTACACCATAGGCAGGGTTTCGGACCTTCAGTGTACTGCTTACCCCCTCATCCACTGCCAGGGTGATCCCCTATTTTTCTCTTGCCTTGGGGTCCTGATAAAACACCTACGCCTCAAACCCACAGCGGTTGGACTCAGCCGCGTTCCCTGTTTTTGAAACCACAGTTCAAATACCACCCCCGCACCCCGCCATCTCCCCGCCACCAAACAAAAGGCGCTGGGACAACCGCAGCTGTGATGGAGGCCTGCTCGCGGGTCCCCAAGCCGCAACAGCTGGTTCAAACTCAAGGAAACAACAGTTAAAACTTTCAGAATCGACTACCTTGTAAGAACCCCAAAGTTGAAAAAGTTGAGTTTACAGCCAATCAGTATTGCAAACCTCGAACTTGAATCCGGAACCGCTTCGGGTTCGGAGTATACAGTAAGTTGTGCATTCTCGGCACGAGAGTGCAACCCCCCTCATCTCGGTTCTTGCGGGAGAACTCCAGGATCAGCCGATTATAGTAAGGTGATGGGCAAGGTAGCTACACCTATCGCTGCCTGTAGCGCCAAGAAAAGTTGTTTATACTCATACCTTCCCAGAGATCCCCAAACCCGCTAATTCAGGAATATACCTTACACCCAAATATATATATATATATATATATATATATATTGGCCCTCATAACTTAAGGTATGTTCCTTGATTAAGGGGTATTGGGATCTCTGGGTTTTAAGTCCCCGGATCCTCGCAGCATTCTAGTCTAACCTTAGCTGCTGAGTTCATAAGCCTGAAATTGTGTACCCTTTCAGGTTTATAGTGGGTAAATTTAGCCCAAAACGTGTGAAGTGTATCCACTCAACTACTAAGTAACAGCCTCAGGGCCTTGGTACTTAGGTTGATGTAAGAATAGTGTTAGACTCTACTTAGGGTATGTACGGCCTAATCAAGCTTACTCGCCCAAGCCCTCCATTCTTCACCCCCAACTGAGCCCGATAAGGTTGTGTACGAAGTCTACTCGCCCACACCCTTCCCGGCCCTTCCCTGATCCGAGTTTAGGGTTTCAAAGAAGCCCTTCATCCATCATTGGGGCCACGCCGCATGATGCCCCGCATGGCACCGTCTTCCGACAGCTGTTTCCTAGCCGGTGCGAAACGAGAGATTTCTGGAACTTCTGAATTTCTTGGGCCAGGGTTCATGAGATTCCGCCTGTGGGACGGCGAGTTTGGGGCCAGGGTTCAAGAGCTTCTGGGTGCAGGGCTGAAGGTTGTCAGGAGTGAGCCGAGGGGCTCAGGGGCTCATCCTGCTTGCGCCTACTTGTGGGGAACTCAAGGTTAACCTTTTGGGTTATATAGGGATTATACAGGGACTATAATATCCAACAAGGGTTACTACTCTACAGGTTAACCTTCTTGGTTATACAGGGATTATGTAGGGACTATATTATCCAAAACGGGTTTAAGGTTCCCTACTCTACTACTGGGTGCGACGCTGTCAACATGGCTTAGGGCGTACGGCTGCGGGAGAGTTTGAGGTTGGGGTCTTGTGGGTTGGGTGCACCAAGTGTGCATGGACTCTTGGGGGAACCTTAAGAAAGATCTGAGCCCTGAAACCCTAAACCCTGGCTTTCTGCGAAGTCGAGAGATCAGGCGTGTGATGAAGGTGGGATCCAGGATTCGTCATACACAAACCCTTATTTTGGGGTTTAGGGTTTAAGGTTTAGGAATCCAACCCCGCAATGGCCTCCAGCCAGATGTGCTGTTGCCACCCTTCTTGCCCTTCAGCTGCGACAGCAAGCCCTGTCGAGAGCAACTCAGGTTGGAGGATCTGGGAGTTTCCGAAAATGAGGAGTACCTTATTTGGGGTCCTTATAATAAGGGTCCTATTATTTAGGGTACTACATTAGGGTCCACCATTTTTGGAAACCCCCATCTGGGGCGTGGCGGTTCAGGCTGAGGGTTTCAAAGTAAAGGGCTGAACTGCTTGGAGGCCCAGGAGACTTGGGGGTTTCCAAAAACAGGGGTAAGATCTTAGGGTTCCTTTAAAGGGATCTATAGGGGTTCCTTTAAAGGGATCTATAAGGGTACTATAAAGGGTTTAGGGTTTAGAGTTTCCGAAAATTAGGGGCACCTTATTTTGGGGTCCTTATAATAAGGATCCTACTATTTAGGGTGCTATATTAGGGTCCCCTGTTTTCGGAAACTCCCACTTAGTGAGTAGGTTATAAGTAGGGTTATAATTTGGGTAACTCCTTCTAACGTACTTATAACCCTACTTATAACCTACTTACTAAGTCCCCCGGGCCTCTAAGTGTTGGGTCTTGGTTGAAGGGCTCTTCGACACCCAGGCCCGAAATGCTCAAACCATGCAATCTAACACTGTTAGATAACCCTCAACCTAAACCTGAAGCCCTGAACTCGAAGCACCGTGCGCTCCCCAACCCAAAAGCACGAAACCCGAAGCCGTAAAAACACCCAAAGCGAGCCCTAAACCCGAAGCACCCAAAATCCCCCTCCGCGCTCCCTCCCCCCCCTTTGCCAGACGCCAGGACAACAAAGCCTAAAGATCTCAAAGGTCCACCTGTTCCAAAAACAGCAAATTTTGCCTAAACCCTAAACCCCTAAACCCTGAACCTACACCCCCCGTCCGGCCCCATCTACAAAAACACAACGAGCAAGCAGCATGTGCCGCTCCTCAGTGAGCCAGGCCGGTCCATCTGCTTGCCCTGCATCCCTGCGTCTTTGGGGTTTTCTTTGGGGGGTTTGGGGTGTAGGGTTTAGGGATGGGGGTTTGGGGTTTAGGGTTTAGGAATGAGGGGGATTTGTTGATATACGGTTTAGGGACGAGTGATTAGGGTTCAGCATTTAGCTTAGCCCAGACCAAAGGAACCCAGTTGTAGATCCCTGAGGTTGGGAGCCTAAACTTCGTGCGCTTCAGGAGGTAAGGTATTGTTGTTTTTGGGCTTCGGGTTGGCACCATGTATACGGGCTTGTTGAGGTTGGAGGTACACTATAGTAGACAGCACCCGACACAGGTAGCCTCCATCCCCCATCCTCATAGATGAGATTCAAGCCTTCGAGGCTACTACAACCCGAGCCTCATGGCGTTGATGAACCCGGCATCACCTCGGCCCGGGGTGTATCCCAAAGATACGGTTGATGATTATTATACATCCTGTATTGCCTTAAGGACCCTAAACTATGGGAATACTGGGATATTCCTTATTATGGAACATGCAAGACTTATATTACCGACCGTATGAAGGATGTTTTGAAGACATTGACGGGGCGCGGGGTCCGCGTGCTTCGTCAAACTAGGGGTCCAAGATGAGTCTATCACGCAGGAGTATATACGTGCTTCTGCGGTTTAGGGTTTAGGGGTTTAGGGTTTTGGTCCAGGATCCATATTCTGAAGGTCTTCTAAGCGTAGACGCCACGCAGGATCGCACTCTGCAGAAGCCGTCGTGCACTGGAGAGATATTGCTTGTCTGCTCTTGCCGAACTTGAACTTGAAGGGTCGGGGGACTTCGTAAGTAAGGTAGGTACGAAGTAGAGTTAGAATTTAGAAATACACCCTACTAAAGGGGATCCTCTTTGGGATTATGATGCTTACAGCTCTGTAAAATAACACTTACCAAGTCCCCCGACCCTCAGAGTATAAAGGATTGCAACCATACAGGGGGATGCAGGCAATCCAGGCACGGAAGGACACTTCGATCGTGGCAGTTCGGAGCAGCTCCGGCCAGTTTCAATACGATCATGATAAGCATTGTAATTATGGACCCCTGACTCACAAATCTCTTTTCCCTTGGTAGGATTCTGCATAGGACGGATCTCCAAAGCATTCGGGTCCTCAAAGAAAGGAGGTTCAGGACTACGCCGACTGGGCATTAGTCATTATGTCAAGGCTTCGAGGATGCTAGGAAGATCGAGGCCTGCAACCAGTCCCGAATACCTTAGGTACTGCCCCCCCCATACAGTAAGAGTCTACAATAATAGGGCTACTAAGCTACTATTAAGGTCCTAATAGGTCATACTTGAGCCTCGGAACCCCCTAGCTCAACTCCTAAAGCCTAAACTCCATGTGAGGCAGTGGAGTGGACATGGGTGCGGACGTAGACACATCCAGGAATACAAATACATTCTTCCCTAAACTCCCATTGAAAGCGCCTCAACCCCTAAACCACCAAAAAACTCACACTCTGATATACAACCTCGAAATCAACCCCGAGTACTATAGGGGCCATATTCAACAACCTAAATCCCCAACCTGCATTTAGAGTTAGGGCTTGTAGGGTTACTCTGTTGCTGCGACTATTCCAACCTCCCACTCCTAACAAAACTAATGTAGGGGCAAGGCTGAGCGCACCTGGGTATATGCTTAAGGTTTGGACTGCTTAGAGCTTAGAATGGTCTCACTGGCCCAAAACCCAAGGGAAGAAAAGTTGAAACTTTCAGAATCGACTACCTTATAAGAATCCCAAAAGTTGAGAAGTTGAGTTTACGGCCAATAAGTGGTTCAGGGTTTAGGATGGTTTAGGTTTCCGGATGAGTGCAGACCAGCTGACTGCGCTTGGCAATGGCCTTTTCAACCGCATCACGGCAGCGCAGGATCTCCGTCGGAGGACCTCCAACCTTGAAGAAGCGTTCTCGTCAGACTCTATTTGAAAAGCCAGAAAGTTGGAACATCATTATCCTCATGGCATTAATTTAAAGTAGAGGGGATCCTAGCACTAATCCTCCTAAAGCCATGTTCCAACTTTCTGGCGTCTACTCTAGGGTTTAGCGGTTTGGGGTTCGGGCCGGGGTGTAGGGTTCCGGGGTTCAGGGTTTTAGGGCCTTTAGGGTTTAGGGTCCAGGCTTTTGGAGTTCAGACTTTCGGGCTTGTGGGGTTTGCCTATAGAGTACATGCCGCGGCCTTGCGAAAGGGCTTCAGCAGGTCTTTGGGTGCTGGTTCAAGGGCGTCTTGAAGTTTGCATTGGGTTCACGATCTTGGGAGCTGGAAAACAATGAAAAACCCACATACACAACCTACAGAACTCAATATTACTAACTAACATCCCAGACACGAAGCCCAAACATCCTCAATGAGAAGCCTAATTGGCGGCTCAGATGGTCCTAGTGTATGACTTGGCTATCAGTATGGTCACACATGAGATAACCCCACTCGGGGTACTGACAACCCCGGTGCAACACTAAACCCTACACCCGTAAACCACAAGCCCAAAAAAACACTAAACCAGAAACCCTTCAAACCTACTGAATACAGCCCACTCCAAAGCCCAAGGCACCAGGAAGTAAAGCTCTATGGGCTTCTGCTCCTGCTGCTGCCATCGTAGTTGCTTTGGGCCCAGTTTAGCTTAGGGGCTGAGTATGCTAGTCCAAACAAGCTAACCTTTTCAATTCTGTTAGGATTACATAGAGCCCATTACGTACCCAGGTACTAAGTTAGGGGTTCAGAGTGTAGACCCGAAGCCCTAAATCCTAAACCCTAGAGTTCGAGGGCGTTTTGGTTAGAGGTTTTAGGATTGAAGGTGATGAGCACTCCTGGGGGTTTTGATTGACTCATGAGCGTTTAGTTGCAGGTTATTAAAGCAAACTTTGCAAATTAGGGTTTAGGGTTGTGGGCATAAGGGCCAGAATAACTAGAATGGAAACCAGAATGGTCTGCCTTAGTTCTCGTTGATATTATACAATGTAGTATACGCTACCCTCTCAAACCCTGTTCCAATTGTTAGGCAAACATGACTTTAGTTGCTGAGTTCATAAGCCTCAAAAAGTGTGCACATTCAGTTTTATAGTGGGTAGTAGTATCCCGAAAAGTGTAACGTGTATCCACTCAGCTACTAAGGTACTAAACGGCTGTAGCAATCCTTGCTATACTGAACTTAGAATGCTAGCAAAAATCATGATTTTAGCTGTTTCTTAATGATTATAATAACCAAAAATTATCAACTATTTCTAAGTACGCCTAAGCTTATAGAGCCCTTCGAGGAACCCTGAACGGCAACCCTAGGCAGTTCATGAGAGTGGGCCATCTTCGTCTCGGGACCATTTCTCACTGGCCCAAAACCCAAGGGAAGAAAAGTTGAAACTTTCAGAATCGACTACCTTATAAGAACCCCAAAAGTTGAGAAGTTGAGTTTACAGCCAATAAGCTTTCGGTTTCGCAATGATGTTTCCTACTTGTCGAGTATCCTGGGGAACTAAAGGTTAACCTTTGGGAGTATGAGGATTGTCGGTTATAGTATCAAAATTTTAAAGGTTACCTACTCTACTACTAGGATTTTGCTTCATGTTGCTGCTCGGTCTCCCTCGTAGAGCATCCTTAAACCCCTCAACTCAACACACCAAGCCCTGAATTCCAAACCTTAAACCCGAAACCCCTAACGAACCCCTTAACCCCAAACTCCAGAGGCGTCATTCCCCCAAAGAATATACCGGGGCCTGAATATGTGGGTTTTGGGGTACACTTCGCATAAAAATATGAATAAGGAGCCCTGAGGTACAAGTATTAGTAAGTATTCTCGCTTATGTTGCAAACGCCCAAAATGCAGCAGGACCGACTACGAGTTCTCCGCCTTCTTGCCGCACTCCGCCGGCGCGGTCCCGCCGAACACGTCCAGGAGAGCGCCGAGAGCTGCAGTAGCAAGCACCTGGAGTGAGCACGAACGATATTTGGGGAAGCAGTATTGAGCGAAAAATATGTCATGTTCAGTGGCGAGCACCTGGAGTGACAAAAAGGTACAATCTATCATGATTAATATCATGCTCTCTTCACATTCAGGAACAGCATTGTAACGATTCAAGAGGCCCCCTATCAGCCTGCTTCCAGAGGCACCCTGAGGGATCACCGAACGTTAAAGCTTGAACACCGCACACCCCCGAAACCCGCTACCCCACGCCCGAAATCTTAACCCTGATTCCAAGCCTCCCGAAGCCCTCTGCAACCCCGAAACCACTACACGCCCTTTCATGTGTGGTAGCGGCACGGCATCCCCACCTCGCTGTCTCCGTGGCCGCCCCGGCTGCCAATGGCAAGGGTGCTCACGCCCTTGTCGCGGAGAGCCTCAGTTTGGAAGGCTGTCGTCGTAGTAGTAGTAGTAGTAGTAGTAGTAGTAGTAGTAGTAGTAGTAGTAGTAGTACTAGTACTAGTACTAGTACTAGTACTAGTACTAGTACTAGTAGCAATAACTTAGGTACGGCCCCCATACAGTAAGAGTCTACAATAGGGCTAGTATTAAGGTCCTACTATATCTGTATTATGAATATTATTCAACTATTACTGAGTGGGGGCCGTACCTAAGCAATAACAGTACGAATCGAACAATAACAAGTACTAGCCATGATAACACCCACGAGACGAAGCCCAGGTTCTCAGAGATCGTGCGGCCAGAACGTCCCTTGTTGAAGCTGTCTACCACAAGGGCCTGAATCATAACTAGACACTCTAGTTAGAATAAAAAATGAAATTGTAAATTACTTTAGCCCCCAACACCTAAACCCCCAACATAGTATGGGCATTTATTTCGGCCTTTTTCCTGGTAATTATTCTAGCCCCCAAACCCTAAACCAGCAAATTAGTATGGGTATGCATCTAGGCCCCAAAACCCTAAACCACCAAATTAGTATGTGTATTATCTAGGCCCCTAAAAAACCTAAACCACCAAATTAATTAGTATGGGTATCTATCTAGGCCCTCATAAAAAATATTACCGAGAGGCTTCCATGGCTTGACGAAGGGAGCCGGTGAGGTCTTCTTTACCCTCCGCGCCTCCAACAGTTGGCTTTTGGGTCTTACGGTCTGGGTTTAGGGTTTAGGACTCATCGCATCAGATTTAGCAGACTTAGCAGATAGGGTCACTTGGAGGATCATGGGACTTAGTAGGTAAAGTTATAAGTACTTTGATTGGGGTTTTCAGTAATTATAGCTACAGTTATCGCAAGTCATCATAACCCTAGTTACTATGTCCCAAGATGCTTTAAGTATACTCGGATCCGCAGTAACCTAGGAGTAAAAAGGGCTCCCTTTTTGGTATTGGGTAACTTTATAGGGAACCTAGGACTACAAAAAGGGAATAAGGGTACTACTGGGCATCCTAGTATATGATGTTCTTGGCAAGTTAACTGGTTCTCCAAGCACGAGTGGAACCTTTGTGGACGTTGAGTCTTGCGCAAACCCTAGGGGTGGCAGCTATAACAGCGTTGAACCTTGGTTGACTGAATAACTTAGGTTGGGCTTTTGGGATCTTTGTACTCTGATTCAAGGAGTCCCGCCAAATAGTATTGCTCATTACTCTTTTCTTCAATACGCCGGCCCAAAGAAGTTCAGTTCAAACTTAAGCCAAACATGTTGCAAGTGTTCCCACTGGCAATCTAAGATTGTTTAAGCTGCAAACCCTAAACCTGTAACTACTTGGAGGGTCGGGGGACTTAGTAAGTAGGTAGTAAGTAGACTTATAAGTACCCCAAAAGGGACCCTAATTGGGGTTATGGTGCTCATAAGTCCTTAAACTAACCAGTTACTAAGTCCCCCGACCCTCCAAGGAAAAGCCCCCGAGGCCCCCCCTAGTTTATGTGCAGTTTATATCGGGATCCTTTGAAGTAGAGAAGGATCCCAAAGGATCCCACGTAGGTGAGTGGATCTTCAGGGAAAGTAAGGTTATCAAGGATCACACAGATTTGACTTCAGAAGTTCAAGGTTTGGGGATTAAAGGCTTCAGGCTTTGAGGTTTGGGGCTTGCGGGTTTCGGTTCAGCAGGTTAGGATTTATATAGGGGTTAAGGGTTTACGAGGGCTGAGGATTTGATCCCATTTCGATGCAACAGGGATCAGATTAGGATCCTACTTAATATGGGTGGTTGTCAAATTGTCAAAATTATGGTCCCTTTTTGGGTACCCTAACTACTAGGTGCCGTATTATATTAAGGACCCAAAAAGGGACCCTGATTTTGACAACCACCCTCTGAAGGCCATGAAAGCAAGGAAGCTTTTCAATCAGTTCCCAGACTCACGAAGCCCATAACAACCTAAAGCCCCAAACCCTAAAGCCCTAAAGCACCAACATCCTGAAGCCCTAAAGCACCAACATCCTGAAGCCCTAAAGCCCTTAAATGCCCCAAACCCTAAAGCCCCGGAGCACACCACACGGGGCCGCTGGGTTGGTTCGGCTTCTCCGTGTCCGAGAGGGCGATTTGCACCTTAAAACAGAGGCCTTAATACTTAAAATAGGGTTTTGGGGTACACAGGACTACCCATAGTACCGAGTTCTTTTAAGGGGTTTGGGTTTTAGGGATTAGGGATTGAGGTTAGGGTTTGCCTATATGATGTGCAAAGTGAGCACATTCAGCTAGCCCCAAAAGCTTGAGAGTTTAGGGGTTTAGGGGTGAGGGTTTAAAGACTCTATTAAAATCTTCATCATTGTAAAGTATGCCCATTCGGCCAACTAGGGCTTAGAGGCTGTGTACACTTTAGAATAATCATGTCCCCATAAAGGACGGTTGTCAAAATTATGGTCCCTTTTGGGGCCCTCAGTATAATACGGCACCTCATACTTAGGGTATCCAAAAAGCGACCATAACTTTGACAACCACCAATAAGTGTAAAGTATGCCCCTAAACCCGATGCCTTGGGTACGGCCCGCACTCAGTAATAGTTGAAAGATATTCATAATATAGATATATTAGGACCTTAAGAATAGCCCTAGTATAGATTCTTACTGTATGGGGGCCGTACCTAACCTATGCCCGTTCAGCTGCTAAGGCACGGCCCAGCTGGCAGAGCAAGGCGCTCCAAGCCGGGGGGCGATCTGACGGGAGAAGTTGGAGGGTCATGGGACTTAGTAAGGAAGGTTAGGGTTTAGGGTTTAGGGATATAAGTCCCTTAAACGGGGTTACAAGTAGTCAGAAGTATGGTTACCTTGTTTGTAACCCGAGGTACTTAGTCCCATGATCCTTTAAGAAAGCCCCCACATGGCAACAGTCTAGAATGCGATTATTAAGGGCCTTCTACAACTTAGTTGCTGATTTCATAAGCCCCAACAAGTGTACGCTTTCAGTTTAGTGGGTAATACTATCTCAAAAAGTGTAAAGTGTATCCACTCAGCGACTAAGATAACTTTTTTTATGAGTATAACTCACTGTTGCTGAGTGGGGCAGTAGCCAAGCCCTCCAGGCGCCCTTGACTAGAGCCCTTGTCGTTCCTTAGAATGGGTCATTTCGGATATATTAGAGGGTAGTTGCAGGGTCTATGTCTAGGTAACCCGACACGCTGGGGTTTAGGGGCTCTGGGCGTTTTGGGGGGCTTCGCAGGTATTTCGGGCAGAAGGTGCAAGGGGGTTTGGGGCTGTTCGAGGTCCAGCTCCGGGGGCGTGGACTGCCGAGCTAGCGGGTACTACAAAAACACAGGCTCTCCAAAACGAAGGCCTTACACATGGGTAGTTGTCAAAATTGGGTTCCCTTTTTGGGTACCCTAAATATTAGGTGCCGTATTGTATTCGGGACCCAAAAAGGGATCCTAATTTAGAGAACTACTCAGATCCTCAAACGGAAGGGGTAAGGTTTTAGGGTTTAGGGTTTGGGGAAGGGGCAGGTTTTTGATACTCTCAGACTCTCAGATCCCTGGGCACCCACAAAGCCGGCGAGAGAAAAGGACGAGGCTTGGGTTCAGAAATAGGGTTTAGGGTTTAGGGTTTTGGGTTTAGGGTTTAGGGTGAAACTACAGTAGAAGTTAGAAGGGGCCCCCACCCTGTAATAGTGACCATAAGGACTATATAGGATTATATTAGGGCCCTATTATATTTCTATTATACCACTATTACAGGGTGGGGGCAGCTTCTACAGTAGAAGCCCAAGAGTTGGAAACCCCATAGCCTCAATCCTTAAGAGTAATGTATAGAGAATCCCAGCACTATTTGGCCTTGGTCCGGTTTCCAACTTTCTGTGGTTTGCTATATTCTAAAATGCCCAGTAACCTAGGAGCAAAAAGTGCTCCTTGGGTAACTTTATAAGGACCCTAGGACTACAAAAAGGGAATAAGGGTAGTACTGGGCAGCCTGGTATTGCAGGGGCCTGAATAGTTTGAATAAGGTTTTGGGGGTCCGTATTATAGCTATAGTATACTATACCCCAAACCTTATTCTACTTATGAAGGCCTCCATATTACTGTTTGATTCGGTTTCTCTTTGGAGGGCCCTTACTAACTGCAACGACACGGATTCAAGCCTCGGTATAAACAGAAAACCCGCATGCTCTCTCTGTCCTGATTCGGGCATAGAAAGTTCCGGTTCTGTCAGAAAGCATTTCTCTGCGTGAGGGCTCTGAACTAAGCCGCCCCAAACCCCAAATCGCAAGCTTAGTTGCCGAGCTCATTAGCCCCAAAGAGTTGACACTGTCAGCTCTGGGGGGGATTATATCACCCCCCCCCCTCCCCCTCAGAGAAGGTGTAAAGTATACCCTCAGCTACTAAGGTACGGATCAAAGAAGGCCGCAAAGAAGTCTTGGATATCAGTAATACTATACTACCATGCCACTATACTACTATAATATTGTTATAATACCAGGCTACTATACTACTATAATATTGTAATAATACTATAATACTATACTACTATAATATTGTAATAATGCTATAATACTATACTACTCTAATACTCTAGGGTCCTTCGGCCCAAAGCCATGAAGAGGAAGTACCCCAACGGAGATTCAAGCCAGACCCCAAATCTATGAGTACGAATTCCTGAACTTCTGAGCCTAAACGCTTGAAGCCCCAAATCTTTAAACTCTACCTATAGTCTCCATTGCAGTTCCATTTTGGGGCGTCCTTTTCGGATCCTTAATATAAGATTGGTTAAACCAGAAAAAGGAACTACAATGGAGACTATAGGTAAACCCCTTAATCCGACTTAAGCCTGAAACCCTAAGGCCCTAAAGCTCCAACTCACCAGGAGGCTTGGTGTGCACAGAGCTGCCTGTGAGACAGTGTCGGTCCCATCAACGAAAATCACAGCATCGCCTTCAGAAGTGGGCGCGTTTCGCACCGTGTTATGTTCTTCCTTGTTTACACGCAAGATAACTATTTGTATTGTGAGTAGTTGCTGTCACAGTTGTAATGGTTTTGTTAGTGTTGTGGCTGCTGTTTATATTGTCAATACTCTTATGTATGCTTGCTTCCTTGTTGACGTCTCTTTTGTAAGAATACTTGTCGAGCGGGTAGGATTCTACAGGCTTCTACTTTGAAGGTGGGGGCACCGGACTTCAAAGTACGAACTCCCAAGCACCGAACCCTGAGGGCTAAACATCAGGGTGTTTGTTTAGGGAACATGTGTCACCATGACTTTGACTCAAGACGTTATGAAGGGCAGATTAGAGCATTTAGAGCCGAGGGGACGGAACAACCACCCTGCAGCTAGAACATGACCGCTTCTAGCCCCAATTAAGGTGCTTAAACCATATTAGCGAAGTCTCTAGATCCTAAACCACTAGAGCTCTAAACAGATCCGTTTTACAATTCATCCTCCCCGAGCAACATGGGGGTCTTAATCGCGCATTCCACCACAGCCATACCCAGAGAGCCCAATACCCCTTAATTAAGGAATGTAGCTTAAATCATAACATGAAGCCCCTAATGATTTAAGCTATCTTTCTTAATTAAGGAGTATTGGGCTCTTTGGGTAACAAGGAACTCAAGGAAGAGCATTGTTAAGTCTCGCGGCCTCGAATATCCCAGGAGTCGATGTCAAATGCACCAAAATTACGTAAAATCAGGACGCTATATAAACAATAAGGGAACGTAGACATGACACCATCGATAACCTAGGGGCCTTAAGAATTAGAATAGCCCACAAAACCCTCTTCTCATTCTTAAGGGCCCTATTTCATCTACAGTTTCCTATACTGAACTTGGAACCCTAGCAAAAACTATAATTTTAGCTGTTTCTTAGGGGTTACAATGACCAGCAATTAATACTATTTCTAAGTACCCCTAAGTTTCAATGCGGGGCCTGCGAAGTGATCTGCAAGCCCCTCTGAGATGATCATGGAAGCCTGAGCAGCACAGGGCTTTTGGGCCTTTCGTGCTTAAGAGTTTTGGCGCTTAGGGTCTTAGGGGTTCAGGGGTTCGGGGGTTTAGGGTTTACCTTAACCCGGAATGACCTGCCTTTCAAGGAGCTTCGTGTAAGCAGCAGGCATGCCCGGCTTTATTTGATTAGTATTATTGGTCTTCTTCTTCTTCTTCTTATGGCTATCATTTTCGTTGTTATTGTTTTACCAGTGTTGTTTCCATATGTTTGGAGGGGGGGTTGAGGGGACGTTTTAAAACCCTACTGTGATCTAGTGTTCCAAAACCGATCACCGGTTATTATAGCCAACTTGCTAGATGCCCGAGCACTTGCTAAGCTAAGAGGTCGGGTGCTTAATCCAGGTAGGCGCCCAGGCGGGTTCTGATAGTGTCTGTTCACTTGCAGGGTCGCGGGACGTAGTAGGTAGGTAATAAATAGAAAAGGGATCCCAATTGGGGAGAAATGTCGGTGCCTAGAGGCGTGAGAACCAGGGAGCTAGGTCCTTCTTTTCACGTTTCCGCGTAGAATCTCAGAGATGATCCGCTGCCGAGTCTATCACCCCAAGTGACCACAGATCCATCGCCCAGGACTGCAGCAAATGCACGTGCAGCAGCTTGGAGCTGCTGTACATCTCGCAGCTGACTCTGTACTGCGCTGCTGTCGCCACCATGGCTGGCCCGACCCCAAGTGACCACGGATCCATCTCCCAGGATTGCAGCAAATGCGCCATCAGAAGCTTGGATCCGCTGCACATCTCGCAGCTGATCCTGTGCCACACTGCTGTCGCCACCAGCCTCGGCATCACCCCAGGTGACCACGGATCCATCAGCCAGGATGGCAGCAAATGCACAAGCAGAAGCTTGAATCTGCTGCACATTCGTCAGCTGCTCCTGGACGGCACTGCTGTCGCCTCCACAGCCGGTGCCCCAGGTGACCACAGATCCATCGTCCAGAATAGCAGCAAATGAACCTTGAAATGCAGCTTGCGATCTTTGGATCCGTTGCACATTCTTCAGCTGCTCCTGCACTGCACGGCTGTCACCACCAGAGTGGGCATTACCCCAGGTAACGACAGATCCATCACGCAGGATTACACCGAATGCACTGCCAAATGTACCACCAGAAGACTGGATCTGCTGCACATTCTTCAGTTGCTCCTGGACGGCACTGCTGTCGCCACCATGCCCGGCCCGACCCCAAGTGACCACGGATCCATCTCCCAGGATTGCAGCAAATGCGCCATCAGAAGCTTGGATCTGCTGCACATCTCGCAGCTGATCCTGTACCGAGCTGCTGTCGCCGCCGCTGCAGACATCGCCCCAAGTGACCACAGATCCATCACCCAGGATTGCAGCAAATGCACAAGCAGAAGCTTGGATCTGCTGCACATCTCGCAGCTGCTCCTGCACGCCACTGCTGTCGCCACCACTGTGAGTATGGCCCCAAGTGACCACGGATCCATCGCCCAGGATTGCAGCAAATGCGCAATCAGAAGCTTGGATTCGCTGCACATCTCGCAGCTGATCCTGTGCCACACTGCTGTTGCCTCCAGCCTCGGCATTACCCCAGGTGAGCACAGATCCATCAGCCAGGATGGCGCAAATGCACCACCAGAAGGATTTGCTGCACATTCCTCAGCTGCTCCTGGACGGCACTGCTGTCGCCTCCACAGACGGCGTTGCCAAAGTGACCACAGATCCATCACCCAGGAGTGCGGCGAACGCAGAGAACAAACTACTCGGCCCAATGGCGTTAAGCTGGACCTGGATGACGTGTAGAGTGAGCACGTCTCCACTCATCAACTTCGCTTCCGTGATCGTGCTCGCTTCATCAAGGACCTCTCCAGAAGAATTCACCAGCCGCCCCCTGCTCCGGACTGCCAAGGCGCTCTGGGCGCTGTCCTTCAATGACCCAATGGATGCATCCGCCTCCACTTCCAAAGACGCTCTCTTGCCACTCAGCAGATGCACATCCACAGAAATCGACATGCTTCGTAGGGTGGTGGCTTGATGCAAGACCTAGAGACGCTTCATCGAACCCTTCTAGATCCCTTTATAGACCCCCAAACCCCATACTCTCCCTTAGCCGCAGGTTCTTAGTATACACCTCAACATGGAATGTATAGGGACCCTACAAAATAGTAGGATTTGGTAGGTTGAGGTCTCTCAAAAGCCCACCTCTCTTCAGACTTCAAAAAATGGGGGCATGTTTTCGTGCAATTATGGGGAACTAAACGTTAACCTTTTCGGCCATATAGGGATTATATAGGGACTATACTACCCAAGAAAGGTTAAAGGTCACTCGACTACTAGGAAAAGTAGTGCAAGGGCCGTGCAGCTTAGGCTCCAAGCACATTGCTGCTTGTCAAAATAGCGGTCCCTTTTTAGGGTACCCTAAATATTAGGTGCCTATTATATGGGAGACCCCCCAAAAGGGAACATAATTCTGACAACCACCCATATCATCTGCGAAAGAGAGCAGTAAATCACTAAACCTGAACGATGAAACCCCACAGCTTCCCGTGGCAGATCTTTGATTCATGAAACTTTCTATAAGCAAGGGGGCTTCCAACATCCAAAGTAAACCTTAAACACCCAAAGGCAAGAGCTACACCCTGAACCCCAAAACCGTTCAACCCTAAACCCCTAAACCTCTAAACTTCCCTAAACCCTAGCCCCTGACACCCTAAACAACAGGGTACGTAGTACTGGGAATAGAACCCCCAAGCCCCTAAAGCCTTAATTTCAACCCCCTAACCCCTAAACACATAAACCCCTCAACCCTAAACCCCAAACCGTTCCACCTTAATGATTAGAATAGGGTTCCCTCTAAAGTGGTCCATAAGGGCTTCTATAAGGGTACTATAATATAGGGGCCTTAATAATTAGAGAATAGATTTGGGGGGCCCCACTTGCGTGCCAGAAGGCGGCGTCCGACGGCAGTCGGCAAAGGCAGCGCGGGCGAACATTCAGGGGCAGCTCCCTTTCTGCCACCTCTGATGAGGATCATGGATCATGGGACTGAGCATGTAAGGCTATTAATAAGGACTTGAGTTGGGGCCAGAAGTGATCATAAGCATAGTTACCTCATGTATAACTCTGCTTGGAAGGTTCAGGGATTACGGTTTCAGGGTTCTGGTGTTTATGATACTTCGAGGATCATGAGACGTAGTCAGTAAGTAACCCTTACATAGCCCCTGCGAAAAGGAACCCTACTCTAGTCGTAATGGCCTCGATATAACAACAACTCTACTGATCCTGGAACCCCCCTGCTTGGAGGATCATTGGACTTCGTAAGTAAGAAGTATAGGTATCTAGTTACCTTCTTTTGTATTTATAACTCCTGGATGACCAGGATGACGGGACAGTAGAGGTCAAACTACCTTGAAAGGGATCCCGTTTGGATTTATGGTACCTATAGCTCGATAACATAAGTACTTACTCTAAGGCGCGCGGAGCCTAGGGCCGAGGGGTTTAGGTCTCAGGGTTTGGGTTCAGGGTTTACGCGTTTCGGGCATAAGCCCCCAAAGAGTTAGACTCTCAACTGTAAGCGGGCCACATTATCACCGAATTTGTGCAGTACAGTATACTCATTCAGCTGCGACGACGCTTTATTCAGGAATGTTATTCAAGGGATGCTCCGTATCAAGGGAATTTGGAATCTCTGGGGACGAATCATGGTTCAGTATACTAGGATGCCCAGTAAGCTAGGAACAAAGGGGGCTCCCTTTTTGCTATTGGGTAACTTTAAAAGGAACCTAGGACTACAAAATGGGAATAAGGGTAATACTGGGTATCCTCGTATAGGGTTTGGGGTGCCAGCAGCGAATCGCTGTCTTGCAAAACGGCACCTATCCGCAAGCGATCTCAGAAAGTCTCAAGACTCAGACAAAGCCATCCTGGGTTTAGGGTTTAGGGTTCTCTGGCACTCCGGATGCCCGAGTGCAAACAATTATGAGGACCTCGGCTTTTGCATGTGCAGGCCTATTCATAAGACCCCCGAGCCCCAAACCCTAGACACTGATCACGAAACCCATGAAAGCCCTGAAGATGGATGTAGGTGTAGAAGTTGGGAATCTTAGGTTTAGGTTGCCGGGTTTAGGTTTAGAGTTTTTCCGAAACTTACGTTGAAAGTTTAGGACGTAGAAGAACTAAAAACCCGAGTTACAACTTCCAAGATCCCAAACCGAAGACGTACTGCGCCAAGGTGCTTGAAGATCCGCCGAGGCATCCTGCCAAAAGCTCAGCCGGGGCGCGGGCAGGACACCTGAACTTACCTTTGGTTAGTAGGGAATGGAGGAATGGGGTACAACTATAAGTACTAGTACTACCATTCTTCCATTCCCTACTAACCAAAGGTAAGTGAGAAGGTCAGCCGGGTCTGGGGTTTAGGGTTTGACGCCGGCAAGTTGAGGCTCAGACTCCGGTTAGGGATACCGGGGGCCTGAAGACTTACAATAGGGTTTAGGGTATATCATGGTATGGTTGTAATAAAGGAACCGGGGCCAAAAGTGGGATTGGAGCCCCTCCAAACATCAAGGAATTCTGTGTAAATGCGGCAAGCTTGCGGATTCCGTGGTTATCTGCATGTCGGACGGTAGGAAAAGTAAGGGATTGGATGTAGATGCTGCCGCTTCACCACTTGACACATCCATGTCTGCGAGATATTCATATTAGTGTTTGTTCTGGCATTGGCTTGGATTTGGCTGGCTCCATTGCTACCTGCTGTGAGTTGCGAACGGGTGGCGTTGGGGTGGGGATGTCTTGACACTACAGCGCGCTTACCAGTGCGCAGCCTGCAGTGCACCTTCTAAACCCAGAACCCTAAACCCTAGAACCCAATGCACCTGCCTCCTACACACCTACTTAAACCCAAACTCTGAACCCCTGAACCCTAGACCGCTAAACCCCTGCACCCCGAAAGCACGAGCCTTGCGCCGAAGAAGACCTAAACTCAACCTTCAAACCCGAATCATAAACCTTGGTGATACCGATGGGATCAGAAGCTGCTTCAACATCTGCTACACATTGCGCAGCTGATCCTGTACGGCGCTGCTGTCGCCACCCCAGTCCGCATTACCCCTAGTGATCACAGATCCATCGACCAGGATTGCAGCAAATGCGCAATCAGAAGCTTGGATCTGCTGCACGTGTTTCAGCTGCTCCTGCACAGCGCTGCTGTCGCCACCCGCGTCCGCCTTACCCCAAGTGACCACAGATCCATCACCCAGGATTGCAGCAAATGCACAAGCAGAAGCTTGGATCTGCTGCACATCTCGCAGCTGATCCCGTACCGCACTGCTGTCGCCACCGCCGTCGGAATTGCCCCACGTGACCACGGATCCATCACCCAGGATTGCAGCAAATGCACCACCTTCATGAGAAACCTGGATCTGCTGCATATTCGTCAGCTGCGCCTGCATGACACTGCTGTCGCCACCGTAGTACTTACCCCAGGTGACTACAGATCCATCTACCAGGATTGCAGCGAATGCACCATCAGAAGCTTGGATCTGCTGCACGTCTCGCAGCTGATCCTGGACGGCTCTGCTGATGCCACCACGCAAGACACAACCCAGGTGACGACAGATGCATCACCTAGGATTGCAACAAATGCATAACACGAAGCTTGGATCTGCTGCACATCTCGCAGCTGACGCTGTACGGCACGGCTGTCGCCACCACAGGAGGCATTGCCCCAGGTGACCACAGATCCGTCACCCAAGATTGCAGCAAATGCTTTATCAGAAGCTTGGACTTGCTGCACATCTCGCAGCTGATGCTGTACGTCACGGCTGTCGCCACCACAGGAGGCATCACCCCAGGTGACCACAGATCCGTCACCCAGGACTGCAGCAAATGCTTTATCAGAAGCTTGAATTTGCTGCACATCTCGCAGCTGATGCTGTACGGCACGGCTGTCGCCACCGTGGGCGGTACTGCCCCAAGCGACCACCGAACCAGTTCCCAGGATTGCAGCGAATGCGAAGTTAGAAGCTTGGATCTGCTTTACGTTCTTCAACTGATGCTGTACCGCACTGCTGTCGCCACCAAGGGTGGCATAACCCCAGGTGACCGCGGATCCATCTCCAAGGATTGCAGCAAATGCGAATCCAGAAGCCTGAATCTGCTGCACATCTCGCAGCTGATCCTGTACCGCATTGCTGTCGCCGCCATGTTCGGCATTGCCCCAGGTGACGACAGATCCATCGCCCAGCAGTGCGGCGAACGCAGATCTGCTGCTTTGCTTGGTGCATTTAAGCTGGACTGGGTTCACATGCAGGGTGAGTACATCTCCATTCTTCAACTTCGCTTCGGTGACAGTTTGTGCTCCGACAAGCACCTCTCCAGAAGAATTCATCAGCCGCCCCTTGCTCGGGACCGCCAAAGCACTCTGGGCTCGGTGCTTCAACGACTCGACGGATGCATCCGCCTCCACTTCTATAGAGGCGCGCCTGCCACTCAGCAGATGTACATCCACAGAAATCGACATGGTGCTTCACAGGGTGGTCGCTTCATGTTCAACACTACGTGAAATTTAACATGATCCGAAATCGATGGGATAAGGTTTAGGGCCTAGGGTCCGCTTCCTTGGCCCAGGTGCATTTCCGACCCTACCCATAACCCCAATTAGGGTCCCTTTTAGGGTACTTATAAGTCTACTTACTACCTACTTACTAAGTCCCCCGACCCTCCAAGTACACCCTGAACCCTGGCCTGTTTCGGTAGTTTTTTGCTCCAGCGCGCAGGACTCCGATTAGGGAAGAAGTCTGATCCTTCCCCAACCGCGAAACTTGGGTTTAGGGCTTAAGGCTTGAGCCGAGCAGATACTAAAGGTAAACTATAATCGTATCACTATACTGTCACTATAACAATACTATAATAGTAATGCTACAAGCACAGTACTGGTATAATGATACTGTTATAATACTATTATAGTAACACTATAATAGAATGGCAGTATCGCCACAAACATACTATTCATAGTACTACGATACTACTACTATAACAGGAATACTATAATGATACCCACCACTTGGCCACCAAAAAAACACATAAGCAAAACATGAGGATAGGGATATCGCATCTAAACCCCCTTAAAAAGAAGCCCAATAAGGTGGGGATATCCCTATCAGATGCTTATGCTCATGTCCGTTTTGTGTCCCTAAACTAGAACTCCACGCCGATACCATCATAAAACTAGCCATAGAACAAACTATACTAGTACTACTATAATAGCAATACCTACTACAAGAGAAATACGATAATAGTATTACTACAATAGCAATACGATGATAGTAATACTCTACTATAATAGTAGTTTAATACTATAACAGTTATACGGTAATAGTACTACTACAATAGTATAATGGTAATACCCACTACAACTCCAAGCCGAGGCTCCAGAGCCCTTGTGGGGCGCTCGCGAGGCATCCCATTGGCCCAGGAGCTCGGGCACAGGGGCGGCGTAGAAGATCTCCCTTTGAGGGCTTAGGGTTGAGCGTTCAGGGTCTAGGATTTAGGAGTGTAGGGTTTGCGGTTTAGGATTTAGGATTTAGGGTTTAGGATTGAGGGTTTAGGGTTTAGGGTCTAGGATTTAGGAGTGTAGGGTTTGCGGTTTAGGATTTAGGGTTTAGGATTGAGGGTTTAGGGTCTAGGGTTTAGGGTTTAGGGTTTAGGGGAGCTTACCCATAGGCTCCATAGTAGTTCCTTTTCGTGGTTCATATATTATAGAATCCTACAACGTAAGTCTTGTGTTAGGGCTTAGGCGTTGAGGGTTTGGGGATTTAGGGCTTTAGGAGTTCAGGCTTTAGTGTCACATTTAGTGTAGAAGATTTCCTTAAGCTGTGAAAGGGTTTAGGGGCTCAGGGAGTTAGGGGTAGCGGTAAGGGTTTTAGGGATTAGGGTTTATATGAGAGTTCTTCTTCAGGCTTTCAGGGCCGAGGTACAACGAAGACCGCATTAAATCTGAAGCCGCTAAACTCCGCAGGCAATCCTTCCATACTAGTAGTCGCCAAGTTCAGCACCGCACGGCCGTACATCACCCTTACTAAACCATACTGAACTTAGAACCATAGCAAAAAATAAATTTCAGCTGTTTCTTAGGGATTACAATAGCCAAAAACTAAAAATTATTTCTAAGTACCGCTAAGTACATCCTAAACCACCATGCGACCCCAACACCCTTCGCCCACCCACACCCAGGCCGATTCCCAATCCCGAAAGCTTTAAACGGAAACACGGCATCCCTCAACCGGAACCCCAAAACCGACAGCACCAAAACTCGCAGCCCTACAGTAGAAGCCAGAAAGTTGGAATATCATTATCGTAACCCCTTTAAGGTAAATTATAGGGGATCCTACCATTAATCCATATTCCAACTTTCTGGAGTTCCCTTTAAAAGTACAGACCCTCAAGTCCCTACACCCCCCCCCCCCCCCGAAGCCCTAAAACCCTGAGCCCCACACCTCAAACTCAAACTCGAGGCACGAAAATCTTCAATCCCCAAAATCCGCAATTCTAGGACCGTACGATCCCAAATCCCCAAAAAACCCTCAGGCCTCAAATTTCCGAAAATAGGGGACCCTAATATAGCACCCGAAATCGTCGGAACCTTATGATAATCAAAGGGGAAAAGGAGGGATCCTTAGTAAGGACCTCTAGGTATAGACCCTGAATATAGCTATTATATACCCATCATATAGCCCATTTTAGGGTAGGGGTCCCCATTAAGGGTCCCTCCTTTTCCCCTTTGAGATAAGGACCCCAAAATAAGGTACCCCCCTAATTTTCGGAAGCTCCCAGAAAACTGCGGCTGAGTGACTCAGGGCCCTCGCCGAGCGAGAGGAAGGCCCATGACCTCAGGTTGCAGGTTAAAGTTGTACTATAGTTCCGGGTTGACCCTGTGCAAGGTTTAGGGTCTAGGATTTAGGGGTTTAGGGTTTAGGGGAGCTTACCCATAGGCTCCATAGTAGTTCCTTTTCGTGGTTCATATATAGCCTTTGAAAAATATTAGTAAATAAGGTCCTCTTAAGGGAAAATATAAAATGTCCCAAAGCCCTACCTAGTATAATTTCGGGTTGACCCTGTGCAAGGTTTAGGGTGTAGGGTTTAGGGAGCTATACTATAGTTCTAGTTGACCCCAAACCCTAAACTACCCTAAACCCCAAACTACCCTAAACTACCCTAAACCCTAAACTACCCTAAACCCTAAACTACCCTAAACTCCAAACTAGCCTAAACTCCAAACTAACCCAAACTTCAAAGACCTAGACCAGAAGCATTCAATCCCTCGAGACTGACAGCTCGAGCCTTCAAGAAGTCCTAAAGCTTGCACCCTGGAATGTAGTGCAAAAAGCCCTAAATCCTAAAGCCCTAATGTAGGATCTTAAAAAATTCATTACGCTTCCTTTAAAGGGGTCTATAAGGGTTAAGGGTACTACAATAATGCAGGAACCTGATTAAGAAACCTTGGGCCTTTATTAGGGTTCTTAATACGCATCCTACTTTTTTGGGGTTATAGGCCCAGGGTTTCTTAATCAGGTTCCTACATTACCCTTACGGGGACTTCCGAAGGCTAGGATGCCCAGTAACTTAGGAATAAAATGGGCTCACTTTTTGGTATTGGGTAACTTCATAAGGAACCTAGGACTACAAAAAGCGAATAAGGGTACTACTGGGCATCCTAGAAGGGTACAATACTTAAAGGATCATGGGACTTAGTAGCTAGGCTTATAAGCTTGTTTAGATACACTGATAGTTGCCTATAGCCCCATTTAAGGTTTTGATAACCGTACTTGCTAAGTCCCCTGACCCTACAAGTAGGGTCCTACAAGCGGATTCCGTTTGAACGGTACTATAGAGTTCTGAACCGGGTTCCTTAAAACGGTGCTACAGGATTCTATTTTTGGGTTCCGTTGAAAGGGTACTAGTAGGCTCCAAGTAACGGGTACTCTAGGTTCCCTACACTAGGGCCCCTTGTAAAGGGTAGGCTCCCTTTCAAAGAGAACTTAGGGCTCTATGATGGGGTTCGCTTTGAAGGTAAGCTTGAAGGGCTTCTTGTAGGGTTGCTTCAAGCGATCCTATATCCAAGGGCTCCTTTACGGGCTACCTCAAAGGCACGCGTAAGAAAACCCTTCGAGCGACGCTGACAGGGACCTCAAAAGAATCCTTGGAGAGATCCCAGCACCCTTAAAGAGACCTGACAAGAATCCTCCAAGAGACGCAGGAACCCTTAACTAGTATCCCCAGTGACCTGGGACTAAAACGGATCTCCTTTTGGTATTGGGTAGGTTGATAAAACGTAACTAAACTACCAAAAAGGGAAAAAGGGCCCCCTGGAAGAGCTACTGTTGATGATATAAAACCTGCATTACCTTCGGGACCCTAGACTCTGGGAATAATGGTATATTCCGTATTATGGGTAATGCAGTATTTACATCCTCAGCCGTAGTTACAGAGACCCTCAAAGGGACTCTTCAAGGGAAGTCGTCAGGAAACCCTGACTAGCACAGGAGCCTTAATAAGTAGAATAACGTTTTGGGGCCCATTCTACTATACTTATAACAAGGAAGAACATAGCTAGCAACAGTAACGGAAGTGAAACACTATCCCAAATCGTTTGTGTAGTTAAGGTTCTGTTTAGTAGCCAGTCACTATCCCAAATCTTGTTCATAATCAAGGCTCTGTACTTAGCAATAATAGCGGAAGTTAAACACGATCCCGAATCTTTTCTATAACTCGGGCCCTGTAGTTAGCCATATTAACGGAAGTTAAACACTATCTCATACCTTCTTGTAGTTCAGGCTCCGTAGTAAGCAATACTAAGGGAAGCTAAAAACTGTCCCAAATGGGAGTTTCCGAAAATTAGGGTACCTTGTTTTGGGGTCCTTAATAAGGATCCCACTATTCAGGGCGCTAGATTGGGGTCCCCTAGTTTCGGAGACTCCCAACTCGATGCCTAGCTGTGGACCGGGCTCATGCAGGTGCCGGAGCTCGACGACTTGCTTGCTAGGCTCCAGCTTCACATACCTGGTCGGATTTGGGTGGCTCACTTTAAATTGGGTACCTTTTCGGTTTAGGTTTCTTTTTTTGAGTGCCCTTTGCGGTTTAGGGTTTAGGGTCCTTCTTATATGGGTGGGTGGCATAATATTTTTGGGACGAACTTCCTGTTTTGGTTGGGGTTCTGAGGGCTTGGGGCTTGCGGCCTAGGGGTGCGTAAGGTTAATAGTAAGGGCTTGCAGGGCTTCTGGGTTTATAGGGCAAAAAGGGAGCGCGGCCCTGTGGAAAAATTTCCCTGTTTGTTCTGCGGGTCATACGGTTCAGGGTAATATAGGGGCCTGCATAATGGGAATAGGGCTTGGGGGTCCAGTAATACAGTTATAATACGGAACCACCAAAAAGTCTAAGTAGTTGTTAGGCCCCTAGTATGGAGCCTTATTTAAGCCCCTATACCATAGAACCCTCCTGTAGATCCCTTGTAGACCCGTTTGTAAGGAACCCTTACTTAGGCCCCTGGTATGGACCCGGCACTCGGATCAGGGTGCACGGTAAGGGCTTAACACCACGAAGGGGCATGATGGCTGTTTCTATATTCTGTCTGGTTCTTCGTAGGGAATGGGGGAATGGGTCATCGGGACTATTACTGGGGATTCTATAGGGACTACTATAGAGATACGTCTTGGCAGAGCACCACCGAACCTACTCCGCCAGAAACCGTCTGCGACTGAAGGCCCCTCGGATGTTGAGTTCCCAGACCTCCGGCAGGATCTAGAAACTAGAACCCGCAATTTGGAAGGCAATACTGCTTGACTACTAAAGGTCCCTTACTGGGTTGTCTGGGATGATGTATGTTGAGAACCACAATATAGGCGACTGAATAGCTCAGGTTTTGTTTGGGTATACTAGAATTACAAAACAGAAAGCCTGAGGAGTAAGATCGGCAGTGTTTTACCACCCAAACCCTAAAGCCCTAAAGCCCTAAACCCCTAACCCCTAACCCCTAAGCCCCTAAACCCCTACACCCCTAAACCCCTAAACCCCTACACCCCGAAACCCTAAACCCTAAACCCCTACACCCCTAAACCCTAAACCCCTACACCCCTAAACCCTAAACCCCAAACTCCTACACCTTCTCGAGCCCCTCCAAAGAACCGCTTTCGTCGCCTCACGGAGGAGCCAGTGAAGTCCGGACTGTAGGAGCCGTTCACTTCAGCCTGAGTTGAAACCTCTAGGGTTTAGGGTTTAGGGGTTTAGGGTTTAGGGTTTGGGGTTTCGGGTTTAGGGTAGAAACCGACTTGTGACAGTAATACGACGATAGTCATACTATAATAGTAATACTATAAGAGTTATACGATAATAGTCATACTACAGTAGCAATACTATAATCCTACTTGTCGGGTATCATGCGGAACTGAAGGTGAACCTTTTTTGGGTAAATGGGAATATATAGGGACTATACTACCCAAGAAAGGTTAAAGGTTAGCTACTTTACTACTAGGGATTCGAAGATGAAGGATTGGGATCTAGGCCTTTTTTTTCGAGGGCCTCCGTGGTGACTGCAACGTCTGTCGCATCCCGCAATGTAGGGTTGAGGGTTTAGGCTTTAGGGTTAGTCTTGGGGTTTAAACTCCAGGATGCTCCTTTTTGGTTGATGACCTGTTCTGGTACTTGTAAACATCATCTAACTTGCCACTGAAAGCTGTTATCCTAAGTCGCAAACCGCCAAATCCCAAACCCTAAACCCCGAACCCTCAACCCTAAAAACCGTAAGCCACAAACCGCAACGTAGGGGCCTTAATAATTAGAATAGGGCTTTGGGGGCCACTATACTATAACTATAACAGGGACCCCTCCCACCCACAACGGTAGTGGTCAGTATTTAGGCCCCTATATTACATCCGAAACCCCTAAACCTGCTGCCGGCGTAAGGTGTCGGTTTATGGTTGAAAGGCCACCCGAATTAGGTGTGCGATTTGGGGTGAAGGGTAGGGTTTGGGGTGACAGGGAGGATTTAGGGTTTGGGGTAGAGTCAAGGCTCGATGCTTGGAGTTTGGGAATTGGGATTTGAGCTTCGCTGTGAGTTCAGGTTTGACCCCAATCCCGAAGCCCTAACCTCAAACCCCTATACACAAAATCCTGAACCCTGAACCCAAACTTAAACCCAACTCATGGCATTCACGACTCGTAGTGCCCAACCCAAGCAGCAAACTCTGTATAGCCTCGGCCAGAACAGCCAAAGCCCGAGGTACTCCCTGGTTTAGGGTTTAGGGTCTCGGGTTCGGGGTCTAGCTGAGTCTAGCTTTAGGGTTTAGGCCCGTTTAGGTCCCTCAATCGATTTAGCCGTCGCTCTGATAAAGAAACAATGCTAATTGTTCTTTATTCGTAACCCCAGAACGATCCCAACGCACTGAAGCTGCAAGCTTACAACCCCCAAACCTGCACCCTACCGCCCTCTCTAAAGCCCACTTCCCAAAACGACTCTGCGTCTACTATAGAGGCTCTAACCATTAGAAATTAGAATAGGGCTTGGGTTTTTTTTGAAATACGGCTCTGATAAGACCCCCCTCAAATTAGCATTGTTAATCGTGTAGGCCTCTACATTGCTGGTCTCTGACGAGCTGCGGTTCCGGCCGAGTCTACATAGAGCCGCCCTTCAAGCAGCCAGGGGCGGATCCAGCGGATGACTCGGTTTGAGCGAATTCCTCCAGCATCGATTTGCCTTGGAACATGGCTTCATAATGGTTTTAACAGGGGTTTGGCAAACTATACCCTAGCCCCCAAACCCTTCCTAGGAATAATTTCGGTAAGTAGTCCGGCCCTTCAACTCTACTCTACACCCCTTGAAAAGGTCAGCGAGGAACACATCTTCGGACATCCCGACAACAGAAAAAACGAGCAACAAAGCGTCTCGCTTGCAGTTCTTCGGCTATACCCCCCCTTAGAACCATAATAAAAATCACGTTTTTACTATTCTCGTGGGTTTTATGTGAACAAACATATACAGGGCACCCGGGGGCGGGGGGGGTTGAAACGACCTGAAGCCGAAGCCGAATTGGTGAAGCTGCATTGTTGTTGGTGATGCCGCATTGTAACGCCGCCTTGTCTGACGCCGGATTGCAGAGTGACGCCGAATTGTCCCCTGACGCTGAATTACAGCATGAAGCCGAGTTACCCCTGACGCCGAATTGTGACGCCGAATTACCGCCTGACGCCGAATTGTGAAGCCGGATTACCCCCTGACGCCGAATTCTGAAGCCGAATTGCCCCGGGACGTCGAATTGTGAAGCCGAATTGCCCCGTGATGCCGAATTGCGAAGCCGAGTTTCCCCCTGACGCCGAATCGTGAAGCCGAGATCCCCTTTGATGCCACCCTTGTCGCGCCATGGGTTTCTAACAGACGTTATACCGTGGTGAATGCGGACATGAATGCTCTGGCCATTGGCGATTCTGCATCTAAAGGTCTTCACAGCGAATCCTTTTCACCGTCTGGGGTGCATACAGCGCTTGAAATTTCTCAAGCCAAGTGCGAACATCGGTTCAAAATTTTGGATCTGCATGGTAGGTCCGGTTAGAGAGGGTGTATCTTTATAGAGCCGGGTGGTATGTATAGATCAGGTTGAACCGGTAGGCTCGAATAGAATCGCGCACGCAGTCCCTGTGTGAGCTCTCGCAAGGAGACATGAGGCGGAGGAGGACAGGTGAGTAAGTAGACATTCTCCATGTGGCTTGGGGATTCGCAAAGCGTCTTCGCCACCTAACTCGACTGCGCAGAGCGTCTTCGCGTCCTGATTCGGCTTCGCAAAGCGTCTTCGCGTCCTAATTCGGCTTAGCAAAGCGTCTTCGCGTTCCAATTCGGCTTCGCAAAGCGTCTTCGCGTCCTAATTCGGCTTCGCAAAGCGTCTTCCCGCACTAATTCGGCTTCGCAAAGCGTCTTCGCGCACTAATTCGGCTTCGCAAAGCGTCTTCGCGCACTAATTCGGCTTCGCGTCCCAATACGTCTTCGGCCAATGCGGCTTCGCAATGCGTCTTCGCCTTCTACTTCGGCTTGGCCCTTTAAGTAGCA